TTTCTCTATTGAACACACTTTTTTGGGGTTCTAACTCTGGGCTTTTCTGTCTTTGGGCTTCTGTCTCTGTTATTCTCCCTTTTAGTGCATCTTCCTCTAATGTACACTCTTTTGGGTCATCTAACTCTGGGCTTCCCTGTCTTAGGGCTTCTGTCTCTCTTTTTCTCTGTTTTGGGGCTTTTTTCTCTGTTGTACTTTCTTTTTGGATTTCACATTCTGGTATTCTCTCTCTTTGGACTTCTAACTCTGGGCTTCTCTGTCTTTGGGCTTCTGTCTCTGTTACTCTTTCTTTTGGGGTATTTTCTCTATTGAACACACCTTTGGGTCTTCTAACTCTTGGCTATCTCTCTTGGGGCTTGTTTCTCTATTATTCTCTCTTCTGGAGCATCTTTCTCTATTTTACACTCTTTTGGGGCTTCTAACTATGGGCTTTTCTCTCTAAGGGCTTCTGTCTCTGTTATTCTCTATTTTGGGGCTTTTTCTCTGTTGTTCTTTCTTTTGGGACTTCATTTTCTGGTATTTTCTCTTTTGGGAGTTCTAACTCTGGGCTTCTCTCTTTTGGGGCTTCTGTCTCTGTTATTTCTCTTTTGGGACGTCTATTTCTGTTGTTCTCTTTCTTTTTTTCTCCTTGTGTTGGGAATTGATTCTCTGGTGTTCTCCCTGACTGGATTTCTGTCTCATTTTTGCTGTCTTTATGTTCATTTAATTCATTAGAAACATTGTCTCTTGAGTCAAGAAATTTTTCATCAGATGACGAATACTCAGATTTATTGCCATCTTCAATAATTTCTTGTATGATTTGCAGCCTACAAGCGTATTCCCATTCACTTATATTTGAAAACCAATCAAATTCAGACTTATTTGCAAAACAAATATACGTTACCTCAAAAGGCATATTTTTTCATGGTTTGACAAATCAGAAGTTAGTTTTAACAGAAATATATGTAGGTCATGTACAAAATAGTGTGCTGTTAAAACAGCTTTGCCATTTTCGGAGACACGGTCAAATTCATCTCTGCTATTAGGATCAAATACATAAAATATGTCATCATGGATAACAGCAGCAGTGTAACATGAAATAGTGAGAATCAAAGTGCTGAAGGCACTGCAGTTGGGACGTATGAAGGATCAAATAACTATTTTTTCTATTTCGGGGCAGATAATTCAATGAGTGAAGGGTGTTGCCGGTTGATAAATATAAAGTGCACAATTCAGTAAATGAACAGTAGTTGATACAATTATTCTATGACACACATGTTCAAATATAATATTTAGGTTACATGTACGTGTAGGTCGATCATAAACCGTTATTGGCCTTTTTTGACAAGAGAAACAAGTGAAATTAGAGCTACCAGAGGAAACTGCAAGCTTGACTATTTTAACACAAGACATTATAAAGGGAGACAAAGCTATGAAAAAATAATCAATTGTGATATATATCAAATTTTCTGTATCAGTATCAAGTAAACACTCAAATGGTCAATATTTTTTGCATCACATTATATGAATGTGACCATGTCATTAGAACTTATAATGGCCTTTGTTTACTGCAATTCTCAGGCTAATCTCTTTCACTGTATAACGTTTATAAAGTTTCAATCAAATTCCTTCAATATTTTAATCCTCTCTCAGAACAGTATCATGAAATATATACGGAGATAATTCAAAAACTAAGTAATGTAGAATTTTGGTTATTTGACACAAGACTTCTTCTCACTAGTCTCTACAACTGTATTTAGTTTGAGTGTGATATCATTGAAAAAATTTACTCCAGACAACCATTATTTTAAAAGTTGTTGTACATGTATTTTTCAGAGATGATAATTGTAAAATTAAGCTAGAAACTAGAACTCCGCGAGTCGGATGTGTCGCCTTGTGAACAATGTAGTTTAGGAGAAATGGCCAGGACAAAAATGAAATATGAAAAATAACAAAGAGCAATAACTAAAAAAATAATAAGTTCAGAGCAGCAGTTTCTGAACACTGCACTTCTTATCAATAAGATCTATCATACTATGATGGTTCAAGTCCATAGCTTTCATACTTGAGGAGAAATGACCAGGACAAAAATAAAGAAAGAAAATCAACAAAGGGCAATAACTCAAAAAATAAGAAATGCAGAGTACCAGTTCTTGTGCACTGCACTTCTTCTTAATGAGATCTATCATCCTATGAAGTTTCAAGTCCATAGCTTTTATACTTAACGAGAAATGGCCCGGACAAAATTAAAGTATGAAAATAAACAAAGGGCAATAACTCAAAAAATAAGAAATGCAGAGTAACAGTTCTTGTGCACTGCACTTCTTCTTAATGAGACCTATCATTCTATGAAGTTTCAAGTCCATGGCTTTTATTCATTATGAGAAATGGCCCAGACAAAAATAAAATATGAAAATTAACAAAGGGCAATAACTCAAAAATTAGGAAGTACAGAGTACTGGTTCTTGTGCACTGCACTTTTTCTTAATGAGATCTATCCTCCTATGAAGTATCAAGTCCATAGCTTTTTTAGTTGAAGAGAAATGGCCCGGACAAAATTAAAGTATGAAAATTAACAAAGGGCAATAACTCAAAAAATAAGAACTGCAGAGTACCGGTCCTTGTGCACTGCACTTCGGGTTATTAAAAGAAGCATGCATACCAAGTTTGAAGTCAATCAGACTTATAGTGACTGAGTTATGCTCCGGACAAGCTTTAGGGGACGCCGACAACGACACAGACGACGCCGACAAAAGTAACCCCTATTATGTCACCTTTTCAAGGCGACACAAAAATTCGGGTTCTTTGAAAAACACTTTCTTTCACTTGATTATTTTCGCTGTGTAAAAGTTTAATCAAATTTCATCAACTCTTTTCCAGTATTTCTCTGGACAAGCATAATTAAGTACATGTATAATAAAGGTAGATAATTAAATAAGAGGGCCATGATGGCTCTGAGGTTGCTCACCTGTATATACCCCCCCCACCCTGCAGGGCCAGTTTTAACCCAAGGGCTTTTATTTGAACAAACTTGGAAGACATCCATAAGAAGATGATTCATGCTAAACATCAAAGCTCTAGTTTATTGGGTTTTTTTAAAGAAGATTTTTTAAGTTTTTACTAACACATACTGTTAAAAACAATGACAACCCTGGAGCAGGGCCAGTTTTGAACACAGGGCTTTTATTTTAACAAACTTTGTAGACACTCACTAGAAGATGTTTCAACTTATAATATAAACTCTAGCTATTTGGGTTCTTTAAAAAAGATTTTTGAAGTTTTTACTATATGCATATAGGGAAAATCAATGATCCCCTGGGGCAGGGCCAATTTTGACCCCCGGGCTTTTATTTGAACAAACTTGGTAGACACTCATTAGAAGATGTTCATGCTAAATATCTTAGCTCTAGCTCTTTGGGTTCTTTTAAAGAAGATTTTTAAGTTTTTACTATTTGCATTTAAAGAAATTTAATGACCCCCTGGGGCAGGACCAATTTTGACCCCAGGGCTTTTATTTTAACAATCTTTGTAAACACTCACTAGAAGATATTTCATGCTAAATATCTTAGCTCTAGCTCTTTTAGTTCCTTAAAAGAAGATTTTTTTAAGTTTTTACTATATGCATTTAAAGAAAATTAATGACCCCCTGGGGCAGGACCAATTTTGACCCCGGGCCTTTTATTTGAACAAACTTGGTAAACACTCATTAGATGATGTTTCATGCTTAATATCTTAGCTCTAGCTCTTTGGGTTCTTTAAAAGAAGATTTTATAAAGTTTTTACTATATGCACATAGGGAAAATCAATGACCCCTGGGGCGGGGCCAATTTTGACCCCAGGGCTTTTATTTAAAAAAACTTGGTAGACACTCACTAAAGGATGTTTCAAGCCAAATATCTAAGCTCTAGCTCTTAGGGTTTTTTTAAAGATGATATTTAAAGTTTTTTTCTTTCGGTTCCCATGGCAACCAGAGTTCAGCATGGAATTAAATTCTTTGCACAATTTTTAAAGGTGACAGCCAAAGGAACATTCTTGTGAAGTTTGGATGAAATTAGCGTAGTGGTTTATGAGGAGATGTCATTTAAAGTAAAAGTTTACGGCCGGACGAAAAGGGATCACAAAAGCTTGACCTGTCACTTTGTGACAGGTGAGCTAAAAACTAAGGAATGGAGTTATGGTTCTTTGACACATTGGAAAATTCGAGTCGTTCAAGTTGATGTAGATTCAGTGATAGTTTGGAATAAGCATTTTTAACTTAAGGGATATAATTAAAACATGAAGCAAGGTAGAGTTATGTTTCTTGAACATTGCACTTCCTCTTAAAAGTCTCTATCACTTTGTGAAGTTTACATAAAATCCCTTCAATACATATTTAGTTATATTCATATTTCGGACAAGAGTGTGAAGGACAAATGTCTTCCTAAGTACAGACTATGTTTTTTTTCCTTTATCAACTAAAATCTCAAAAACACCATTAAAAACATATTTTCCTCCCATGAGCAACCCTTTTTCCCAAAAGTACAAGTCTGTATGGAATGAACACAGATATTTATCCATAATATTACTTGAGTCCATACCGACAGATGGTTAAGACCGCAACTATATTCTCTCCCTTTCAGGAGCATAAATTATAATAACATGCTAAATCTTTGTATAGTTCTATATCAGATACCAGTATGATGAACCTTACTTTTGTACCATTTAAGTTATAGCAAAATTCAGCTTTCATTGACATACAGAAATGGGTCAGCCTTTAGTCCCCTCTTAATGAAAATAGAAGGGGACTAATAACAACAATTTATTCTCATAGTTTCAATTCTCAGGTTTATTACTTATCATTACACCAGGCAAGCTAAGATACATGTTAAAACCACAGGCACTATATACCACATTTACCCATATACGCTCATAATACTATATATAAAGAATAAAGGTCCCTAACGAGAGAAAAATATCATGCAAAACAAACAAGAACTGTTCGGTAAAAATACACCAGATCACTATTTTATCTTTGTCTATCATAAACACTTTTTACTTCATCGAAATCCTACAAAATGCTCCAAAATACGAGCAAGTTTCCAAATTTCACTGAAATGTCATTGCATGTCGTTTTCGACGTCCAAGCGATGCGTGTAAACAAAGGTGAATTCTGGTCAATTTCTACAAAATCAACGAATAACTGTTAAGATTTCGACATACTTTCTTTAAGGCAACTTGTATACAGTCAAACTGCGATGTCTTTACTTCACAACTGTCCGACGATAACACTAACAAGCTAAAAAATTAAAAATAATTGACAGCTCCGTTCCAGAAAGTAACCATTTCTTACATTACCGCACTGAATATAAGGTAAAGTAATGATTGGTTAAGCGGAAAATCCGAGTTTTAACATTTTCCTTCAACACAATGTTCATGACTGGCCTTTACTATTGACAGGGGATTCAATTCAGACTAGCCCTCTAAAATACTCCAACTAGTCCAAAGTGTTAATGGTGCCTATACAGTTATGATCACTACATCTGGAAACTGGAGATTCCCACTGAGTGTGATGCTTATCTTCATTCGCTTGACAGTGACACATGTCCACCTTAAAAAAAAAGCAATAAAAATTATATGAAGTGCAATAATTTGCAAAAAAATGCTTATCTTATTTGTCTCTTCTTACATTTATAATGCAGAGCACTAGATTTGTGTGTCAGTCATACAAAATGACTTTCAATAATACTATTTAAATATATTTGAAATACAATTTCTTTAATAAATACTCATATAGTAATACTAAATTCCTTTTTTGTGATATTTTTTCTGACACATATGTGCAGACAGTACATTGTGTACACCGGTCTTACTGACCTGTGTGATACCATTCTAAGCATGATGCCAAGAAAATTTTGGACTTGTGAGAGGCTGTAAATGACCCCAGATTGATCATAAGGTAATGTGTAACCAACGCTGAAAAGCATTTGACTATATCTCAATCCATTGAGAAGTGACATCACTTTGAAATCAATTTTGATTGAAAAAATCGAGGCAAAATAGTGATTTTGGGCAATTTTGAGATGTCCCCTCGTTGCCATGGTAACAGAAAATTTAAGCCTGAGCATGTTGTTGCAAGGGCAATGGTCCAGTCAACATTTGTGCCAAGTTTGATTAGTGTTGAAGCAGTTTTTATAGTATTATAGCAATTTGAACTTGTAACGGGAGACTTTTCAATGAAAACAGCCATTTTTCACAAAATGCTCATGAAGTAATGGGTTAAGAAATTTTGCATCTTGATTGGGAAAAATATTTAGTACCATGTACAAAGTTGTTAATCCAACAAATTGTATATCATTCAAAGCATAAAAAATTGACAATGGAATGTGTTTTTGAACATCATCTGTCTGGTACCATATTGGATTGAAATGGAATGAAGAAAAATTGTCAGCTTTGATAACGGGAATTTTGACTTATGATTTTTTTCTAAACTTGGAAAAGAAAAAAAGCATATTTGGCATTATTTGCCACTGGGAATGGGTCTGTTAATCTGACCCGTGGTGACACTGGTAAAAATGCATGTTTTCATTAATTTTTTTTGGAAAACAGTTTGGTTTGTGAAATATACATTAAATATTATATAAGTACCTGTTGTTTGTAATAATCTTCTAGTCTTTCTTTAATCTTATACTGTACTTTTTTCTAGCTACATGTACCAGCCTTTCCAAGTGAATATTAAAGTAAATAATCTTTTATTTCCCTGAAAATATCAATTTAGAGATTTCATTTCAAAATCATCCAATACTACTCTCTTAGTGTGTGTATATACAGAGACATATAAATACATTTTATGTATTTTAACGTCTCTGGTATATACAATGTATATATGTGTCTACACAATGTATATATATGTTTACACTATAATATGATTGTGTACAGCATGTAATGACATAATTAAAATTTGAAAAATTTATGATAATAAAATATTAATAATATTTCTTCATATTACTCCACAGTATTACCACTAAAATAGAAAATGTTCTATCATTTTATTATGATATCTATTTTTTACATGTAGATTTGTGAAAAAAATGTGAATATCAGTAGTGTCAAAAATTGTTAAATCATAATTATAAAATGTCTAATTAACACTGATAAATTACTTCAACCATGTATTGAGAACAGGTATAGATCATTTCCAACAGTCTTGCTGTTGTGTTGACATTTTCGCGACATGGTTGTGTGTCTGCCTTGTAATCAAGAGGTCTGGGGTTCAGATCCCTTTGAGTGCCTGAAGATTTTTCAGGTTAACAATTATCAAGGTGGCAGTGATTTTTTTTTCAACTTTCAAAACAACCTGTGGCTTTATAAATGGGAAACTATAGCTTGATTAATCAGAAAAGAGGAAAAATTTCAACCACTGAAAATGGAATTTACCCATACATTTAAAAAAAGTGTAATTCAATTTAAAGGGGTTCCATTGAGGTATTTTGTCATGATGGGACTGAAATATTTTTTCCAGATAAATGTACCATTTGATGAATGTTTAGAACACTAATCTTTGTACAAACCTTTAGATCATTTGCGCACTTCGTTTTTCCAGAATAGTTATTCAAATTGTAAAAAGATGACCCAAAATGAAATGACTAGACTTTAAATAGATATGATAATTTATGATAAAGGTCAAAATAAAATTATTCTGAAATATTCAAGAATGTGCCCCATTTGGTAGAGACGTAACGGCCGTGACAAGACCAAAAAATTGTAGGCGTATATGCCGGTTTTCCTGTAAAGGCAGACATCTGTGTAATATCAATTTGTAAAATCTGTCGGTTTTGCAGTCTAAGTATGATCGAAATGTCTTGGGTACGAAAGACTCGAGATCTCCAAATTACTTCGAAATTATTTACGAAAGTTTTAGTCCTCGGAAACAAATTGGCATCAATAAATAAACTTAATATTATTAGTCATCAAATTCATAACATATTTTGCTTTATAACATACCTTATGAGCTTAACAGGCTGATAATTATGCTCGTGAAGTAGGTCGAAAAATATACCGGAAGTTGTCGGATTCATTTAACCTAATTATCGGCTAATTCAGAGACGAATAGATTATCTACATCTCTGGCTAATTCTATTTCAATATCCACTTTGCAATTATAAACTACAAAATTTATCCGATAAATAATGTCTTTTTCAAAAATTCTGGAATATAATACAAAAAAATGTGATGATAAGGCGGATGAGTAAGTTAAATATTGCAAGCCGTCAAGCACTATGACCCAATTAATTTACTATCCCATTCATAGAATTATGTGACCCCACAAATTATATCCGCTACGTTTCTAATACCGTAATTCAAGCTCAATTGCACATTATTTTCAAAAAATAAATTTCTTGTCTCCACTTCTGTTCGCAATAAATCGAAGTTTTCAGAAATTCAGAGCACTATTTTTCACTCGCGGCGGTTATGCGTCGGTCATGGTCGGGTGATCACTATGAATTCAGCTTAGCTTGATATGTTAGAATACAATATAGCATTTAGAGTGGCGATGAAACGTCACAGCAGTGGGCGTTACCCTGTATGGTTGGAAATTTCGGGTTTGTAAGTGCACTAGTTGGGACTACGTCCCAACTAAAAACCAACAGTTTCTATCTTACATTAAGAATTTATAAGATTTTGATATGGGGGAACAATTTCAGTCAAAAGTAAACCAAAGTCAGCATTTTCAGTACACAAATTATTGTATATATTTTGCAAGTCAGAAATGAGAAGATAATTTTGGGATAAACCATTTATTTTTAGTGACTGGTCACCTTCGTCTAAAATTTCATTTAAATCGGTCTCTGTCCAGGTTTCCACTTTGCATTTTCTTGCTTTTTGTATAGCTGCATAGCTGTTAGCAACACACTGTCTTCCTGCTCCATTGAATTTAGGATTTGCCTGGTGATACGCTGCTTGAGCAATCAGAATCATCTGCAAGAGAACATTCATTTCAGTAAGAACTTAGATTCAAGCCACAGGATATTATTCACTTTCTGCTTGTTAAGTCATTCTGGACTATTCACTATGTAGACTTGTAAATACTGTATAAGTGGCTGTTTATGCGTCACGAAAATTTTGCGAATGTCAAAAAGTGGACTTTTTGCATGCTGAAATATTTGCGAAAAATAGGATTTCTTGAACTGACTACTGTTTTTGGGATATCAGTAATTAAGCAGGTATACGTTACAAATATGCTGCTATTGTATTCTATTCAGTTGTTTAATACTTTTATTATAATATTTATATAATTGTTTGAAATATACGTTGATAAGTTTGATAAATGACCTGATCACTCATTTCTTTGTCATATTTTGAAACATTCTTATGTTATATAAATAACCTATTGTGCTCCTTACACATACATGTATATCGTTTCATCAATATTTGTGATTTGTTTAGACCAAAATTAAACAAACAAGCAATGAGAAAAAATAATCTCAGTATGTGAACAGTAAAACTTATTCATGTTAGATGCTGTATAAAAATGTGTGTTCAAATGATAGAAGAAAGTTTGCCTAAACAGAAATAATTTTGTGTCATCGATATTTGTGAATAATTTCAATTCGCGAAAATTGCAAATATTTACATGTCGCAAAATTAACCACTTATACAGTGCCTGTTTATGACTTTAAATATACACAGACAACTCCTCAAGAGATAATTATTATTTTTTTTTATGATATAATATGAGATTTATTATGACTCAGAATTCTGGATATATTTAAAAAGGGACTTGGGTTTTAAGGACTGAAAAGTGTTAAATAGATCTTGATCAATGTGCAATTTTAAGGTTTTGATACCAGCATTATGAATCGGTCTATAACATCATCTTGAACTTATTTAAATAATCAAAGTTGAATGTAGTTACCTGGTGGTACAATTATTTCAAAAACATAAAATGCCCACCAACTTAGGTTTAAAACCATACATTATAGTTATCATTTAAACATAGCTTGTTTAAATCAGATAATTATAAATTAATCATTAATTTTTGAAAAATAATGTTTAAGATCTATTTCAAATAAATTCTATAAATTTAATGCAATGTTAAAGTTAACACTTAACAATTTAATGATCCTCTTTTGCAGTTTAAATTTAACTTTATGTTCTCTATAAAAATTGTTTACATTGGATAAACACTGGGTAAACACTGGATATATACTTGTACTTGTAAACTGGTTTAGATTAAAAGAATGACATCATAACTGTGACATCATCAATGCAAAGTGTGTATCAAAATGGGGAGCAGTTGAACATAAACCTCTTCTTTAAATGTTAACAATCATTTAAAACTTGAAGGGAAATTCAAATTGACATATTGACAAAGGATGCACATAAAGCACATAATTCAAATGACAGTGTTCATGTTTTTATAAATTAATAACTAAACTAGTACATAAAGGTTATATGATGCTATTAAGTTACCTAGTAACCTATTTAAAATCATTAAATCAAAATTTCTTTCAAGAATAAATATACAAAAGTCTTACATTGTTTATCATATTTTACAAAAATGAAATCTGAAAAATCTACATAAATTAAACCATTGTTAATATAAGCAAAAGCATATATTTCATTGCTCATCTATATTTAAATTTTATATGTTTTAAACTTCCAAATTTAACTTTCAATAGAAGTGTTTAATACATAATACTTCAAAAAAGTACATTTTTATTTTCATGATATGGAAATACATTGGTTAACTACACAATTTTCTAACAATAAAAAATGGAAACTTTGCGCACTCAAACAGACCCTTCATGCTACACTAATGCTTGCACTAAGAACTTTTTCACAATCAATTCCACTGTATGAAAATTCAAATTAGTAAATGCGGAAAAGGTGTATGTGTAATTTTCAGTAAATTTATTTTCTTAAAAAGCAAAATTGAAAAACATAAGGTCTAAGAATGCCTTTTACTATTCAAATAATTCATATTCATGCTTTTAAACGGACAATAAAATATTTAAGTCACTTGCCTGTTTACTTTGTTAAATGCGAAACAGTTCTATTTGCATACTACACATAGAACTTTAGAACAAAAAATTTATGATTCAGATATTTACTGATTTAATTAAAGTTTGATAATTTATCCATAGATGTGTTATACCTTTATTATTTTTGTTATAACAAATATCCAAAAAAGTGGAGTTATGGAAAAATGTCAGTTAGAACGCTTTCACTTTCACCCCTCGAAATGCAAAGTTTGTGATAGAAACTGTATCATTTTTGCAATTGCTTTTATGATGTTCTCTACTGGTGTAAAAATATGACAATTTCATGTCAGGAATAACCAAGTATGGAGTTTGCATTATTTACCTAAGTAGAGATATTGTCCAATATATTTCTAAATGTCATCCATCTTGATGACCTATAAGATAGACTCAGTAAAATATATGTGTCTCCATCGGTGAAACTTAATCCGATAAGTGTGGCTTTATTTCGTGAATATCGTTTAGATCTTGTTTACTGCGCGAAAATTCCCATGCGCACTTTTTCACATTATTCCCTTGGGTGTTGGTCGGGAAAATGATGCTAAGTAAGATATCTTGATAGAAAATGAGCTGAAAACAAGAAATAGTATCGAGGGAAAGGTTT